TCGATTGCCGTCTTGTTCAGTTGTAGAAATGGTGCTGTAACCTTGTTTTGTAGGCTACGCAGTTTCATTGCGTCTGAATGGACTTCTCTCCCCTCATGTTTGTCGCATGTTGCATACGCTTTCTTTAGCATTCGTTCAAACATGGACCCGTTCATTTTTGGTTTTTCGCCAACGCAACACAGTTCTTTGATGGTGTGTTCAGCTTCGACAATGTCGCTGGCTAGGATTCCTTCGCCTTCGTAGTGGGTACGTAGTGCGTTGAATGCTTCTCTTCCATTGCCTGCAATGTTGATGGCTTGGAGAGTCGCTTCAGCTTCGGTATTCCCCACGATAAACTTGCTGAGAAGGACTAGGACTTTGGCGTTATCCATGACGTATGCTTCGCCAACGTGTGGTGCCATGTTGATGTAGGTTTCCAAGAAATCTTCGTGCAGGGTGAGCATTCCTGCATCGTTCATTCTCACAATGTAGCTCAGTGGCACACCGTCTCTTCCTGGTATGGTGCGAAGGTAATTTTCGAACGTTGGGCACCAATCTTCCCATTGGACGTCGTTGGTGAAATCTTGCGGTAGTGCTTGTTGCGACATCAACTTGGAGCCATACACGTATTGTTCGTGTGTTTTCATGCGTCTGAGCAGTTTGGCTGCATCAACGACGGGAAATGGCGTTGTGGTAGGGTCTCGTCCCATGCGAATCTCGTCTCTGCACCATTGGATGAATGCGCGGATGTTCTTTTTGATAGCTGGCATTAAGCGTATCTGTCCTTGCGCAATCGTCAATCCTGCAAGGGTCTTGAACTCTTCGCTTAGTTCGTCAATGGTGCTGTCCATTGTTGTGGTGAAATCGTCCGAGAATATTTCATAAGCAATTCTCTCGGCTACTGTGCGTCCTTGGAAGAGGGTGACATTGTCAATGCCACAGATGACCATGTCGTCGTGTACAGTGAAGAAAGGAGGAACGGCGGCCATGTTGCCTGTATCAATGTCATACATCAAGTTGTTAGTTCACATTTCTTTTCATTCGTAACAGTTTTTGTTGGTGTTGTTCAGCACGATTCGTAACAGTTTTCGTTGGTGTTGTTCAGCACGATTCGTGGCAGTTTTCGTTGGTGTTGCTCAGCACGATTTGTAACAGTTTTCGTTGGTGTTGCTCAGCACCATTCGTGGCAGTTTTTGTTGTTGTTGCTCAGCACCATTATTCGTGACAGTTTTTGTTGGTGTTGCTCAGCACCATTTGTAACAGTTTATGCTCACTCGTTGGTGTTGCTCAGCACCGATCATAACAGTTTTTGTCAATGCCACAGATGACCATGTCGTCGTGTACAGTCAAGAAAGGAGGAACAGCGGCCATGTTGCCTGTATCAATGTCATACATCAAATTGTTAGTTCATATTTCTTTTAATTCGTAACAGTTTTTGTTGGTGTTGTTCAGCACGATTCGTAACAGTTTTCGTTGGTGTTGTTCAGCACAATTCGTGGCAGTTTTTGTTGGTGTTGCTCAGCACCATTCGTGGCAGTTTTCGTTGGTGTTGCTCAGCACCATTGGTGGCAGTTTTCGTTGGTGTTGCTCAGCACCATTCGTGGCAGTTTTCGTTGGTGCTGCTCAGCACCATCATTCGTGACAGTTTTCATTGGTGTTGCTCAGCACCGTTCATCATAATGTTCATAACATTTGATGTCATTTTGTATTTCATTATTACGTTCATAACGTTTGATGGCATTGCATTTCGATACATTTCAATACATTTCAATACAATACATTTCAATACATTTCAAACGCATTCATTTTCGTTTCGTTCGTCGGATAACTTTCGGCAGTTATTGCTGGATCTGATAAACCATATAAATGTAATCGTTATGTTATTACGAGGGTGTTGACTTACGAAGTAGTAGATATTAAAGATAGTAACGTAGATCGAATCGTATTCTTAAAAAGAGTGTGTTATCGTCGTTTCATCGACAGGCTTCCGCGAAGGCCGATCCCGTTCACTTACAGACACGAACCATTGCATGCGTGTGCAATAGCACGGTAGCCTTCATTTGCACTCACGATAGAGCACATTTTGCTTTATTCTAACACCAGCAAGTGGAATAAGGTGGTGTTGTCATCTTCTGGCATGGAAAGTTTTGAAGTGAATAATCTGCGATGTCAACATGGTGCAGCATATGAAGACAATTGCAACTGTAGCTGATAACAAATGAGTTCAGCAGAAATCAGCATGATCGCTTGGTAACGATTTTCCAACAGTAGCTACATCAATGCACTAGTACGCTCTCTCTACAATGAGAGTCAGGAGCCCAACATTGTCACGTTAAGTGGTACCCAAAAACTAAGAAATGAAACCGCTTGTCCAGCAACCCGCCTGGTAAATAAAAAAAGACAAACATCTATAGTACAGATCATGGCTGAAGGCATGATTGTGTTCAGTTGTTTCACAACTAGTAAGAATGAGCGGGTTTCCAGTTGAATCTAGGCAACGATTTCATCCCATGACATCCAACAACTAGTAGATATAATTCAAGATATTAACATTCCATGACAAAATGCAACATAATTATAGCCTAGTACAGAGTTTTTAATTGTTATGGTGGTGAGGTATTAGTGTTCAACAATCGTCGACTGCAATTGATGAAATGTACAGTACTGTTGGACGATACGCCAACAAATCATCCTCGAATTTTGAATTAAAAAAAATGACACAAATGGATTTTCAGCGATTTTTCTGGCAAGGCTTGCGCATGGAAGTTTGCTCTTATCACCTCGCTGCACACACTTAGGCGCACGTCCGGGGTCAAGCACGCACATCCGGGTTCAAGCACGCAAATCAGATTTGCGTTGTCAAATCAATGACGCACATCCGGGTTTTTACTCCTCATCAGCATTCGGTCTTTATCTTTTCAGAACGACTGCAAAAAAACTATTTCTGAAAGTTCGATTTCTAATAAATATTCAACGCGCGCAAAACACGCCAAAAACACCAAGTCCTCGCGTGTTCCTGGGGTGCGCGCAAGTCACTTTTTTAACGGTGAAATTAAAATTGTGGAAAGAAAAGGTACATTTTTAGCTTCTACGTACGACATACAGGCGGGTTTCAGCAGAACCTCTGTTAAAATCCTGAGACGGCTCCACAGGAGCAAGGCCTCTGGATCGGGCTTTGAATCAATAAAGGTAGTTTTATAATAAGTTGGTTGATAAGTAATCGAATTAATAAATTGTGAGATTATCACTACTTGAAACGTGCACAAACCACTACACGCCATTAATTTAGCGTAGAGAATGCTGAGTCATCAGCGTTCTGCAATAATTCTAGAGATTTGAGTGGAAAAGTGATCAACAATCGCTTTTCTCACTGCATGCTTTTTACCTGAATTGATATCCATCATCTCGTAGAAACTAGTCAACTATAGGCTTATTGTCTATCTTCATTTATTTCTGTCAGATTAACAGTCGCAGTTACGCCTACAGCTAACTGTCACGATTTCCCCATCAGAAATCGCCCAATTCGTCTCCCATCAGAAGACGAAAACACAACAACTTGCGGATCGGATTTCACAGCGTTTTTGCAAGTTACTGAGCTTCCATCAAGCTCATATTCTCGCAGTCGCGCACAAAGCTGACTGCAGCGATTTTCCTACGGAAATTCGCCGATCTCGTCTATGTTAGAATAAAGCAAAATGTACTCTATCGTGAGTGCCTTTAGCGCTCAGAACAAACTCTCTGCAATCTAAATTGGTAATCGACTGTACAACACTTTCACGACAATAGTTCTCCTGTGTCTAGGTATACTTTGAGTGAAATTGTTCCTATTTGATTAATGTTTGGCTTGAATTGATGATTCAATCACAAAAGTGAGTTCGAC